CAGAATTCCCCAGCCAGCAAGGCTGGCTGGGGAATTCTGGGAGTTGAAGTCCACACATCTTTAAGCTGCCAAGGCTGAGAAACACTGTCATAGACAGTCACCACTGCATTTGCTAGCAGTCTCACCACACAACTCTAATGTGATGCTCCATTTTTATTTTCCAGAATATCTCTGGGCCCCAAAGAAGAGTGGGTGGCTGAAATCAGCCCTTTAATTGGGAACAAGCACCCCCTGTCTAGAAAAATAAGTAAGCTGGAGGTGTTACAGAAACCTTTCTGGTGGCTAGGAAAAAGCAGGAAACTTCCTTGCCATTTTCTTCAGCTAAATGGGAAGCTGGATTTTACCCAAGAACGTATGATAGAATCAGTTGTAAGACCTGTGTTCCTTCCTGAGCAACAAGCTTGGAAGTGTCTGATTCCTGAAGAAGCTGCTCCATGCTGGAATTAAAGCATTCTGTTTTCCTATTCATAAGGAATTTGTAAATTGTTTCTCTCCATCCCTTCTTCATTTTCATTTTCTCCAGGTAATACCCCCACAACATCTCACAATCAAAAACGGCATCTAATGATGTAAAGGGTTTCATGAGTCTGCCACAAAGCTTTATTTAACCAAAAAATGCTGCCACCATAGCTTCAAAACATGGGTGTCAATTACAAAGGCCGCCTGTTTCGAATTCTACCGCTTCAGGGGGGAAAAAATCAGAATTAAGGCAGGATACTCTTTGGGGATTTTGTTTCATGCAAGAGCATATTCAAATGTTCCTTTATCGAGCCCTTCAACCTCATCCTCCCATGTGGAAGAGGGCATACTGCTATAGGGGTCCAATAAGATCTTGAAGCATCGGATGATCAAAAGTCCCAGAAAGACACACAGGATCCCGACAAAGGCAAAACCGGTTTTTTGCTCCAGGGTCAGTGGAAAACTGGACACCTCATTGACACTCATGCTCACTGACGCGTTGTTGCAGTAGTTACTGCTCATCTCTGGGCTTCACATTCTGCTGATTCAGGATTCGCACTTCATCTGTACAAAAAACCCAAGAGAACAGAGACTGTTTTGGATCTGAGGAAGGGATCGCAGATGTCACCTAGTCTAGCCCCCTCCGGAATGTAAGGATGGTAGGGACTTTTGAGGGGACTGGAGATACAGTCCAGGTTGGACTTGTGAGAGTGTGACGTGGATGGATTCACAAAATGGCTGCCACGGTGGCTATGATCAGGCACATCAACATCGATCAGACACAGCAATACCTCCAGGATGCCTTCTCTTGTCCCTTGTGAGTTCTTTGTATGGCATTCTGGGAAATAAATATGAAGGTAGACACTGGTGCTTTATTTTGCAGAATACCAGCTTCCTTTTTTTTTTTTTAAATTGAAATAACTTTTTAACAAGCCAGATGGGGCAGGAAGTCTGGTACACACCAAGGAAGGTGTCCGAGGACACATTAGTGCCTCCAAGCACCATTTTGCCTTCCCTTTGTTGCAGCATCTCTGCAATTTCCACCCGCATGTTCAAATCCTGCACTCCAACTTCTGAAGGAAGCTGACATGTCTCCTCTTAATTTTATCCTCCCTTAGGCAGCCTTCCTCAAACTGGTGCCTCCCAGATATATTGGATCCTACTTGTGTGGCAACGGAGGCTCTATCTTGTCAACTAGCCTGTTCCCTTTCTATATCATAGTTGCATATAAATGCTAATGCAGAAAATTTGGCATAACACATGACTAATCTATGACGGTCCCAGTGATGGAATTTGGCAGTTAAGCACCAGTTGGGACCTGCCATCACAGTAAATTTGATCTATCAGTGGCAGCTTATTATAAGCTCCCTTCATCCCTACAGCAATTTCATTCCTGCAACAATTTGCCCAATCTAGACTCTCTACTGGATCTTCCTCAAGAAGATTCTAGGTTTGCTCTGCATTCCTACTTTCTGCTGTTCCTTGTAGTCCTGCTTTATTTTTCATTTCATCCCAAACTGCTGATCAATCCTGCTGATTCATATCAAAAAATCCTTCTCTTCCCCCTCCTCCTCCTCCTTCGCTGTTTCTTAAAAATTCTTTCTTTAAGAATTGAAAGGAATGTTGTGTTTGCTTGTAGCTGATGAGCCAGGATTCACAGTTAAATGCAATTATCAAAGCAACTCTAAATGTTGATACAATAAATGCTACCTGATGCATTCATGTAAGGCACAATTCCAGAGTTTCCTGAAGTTTGAACAGCTGTAGAGAGAGAGAAAAGAAACTGTGAGACCTTTGGGTTATAACAACCTTATGTAAGTGTTGAGCTGGATTCAAAATGATTCAGTGTACAAAATGAGAGCAAAGAAAATGATGTAAAGAGATGATACATACTGTCTCTTTCAATCAACCGTTTATGACTTTGGTATTATATTCAACCCATATACCTGGGTCTTTTTTTTTTTTTTTTTGGAAACTCTACTTCTAACCAGTCTCGCATACATGTTCATCTAAACCTTGTAGTTGACACGTTTTTCTGAAGTTCTTCCTTGTGCCCTTCAAGTTCTGTAGCTTCAGACCCATGGTGGCTCAGCTCATGTGACCCAGAGGGATCCAGCAATCTGTCAATCCTGAGATGGCAGAATATGCTTGGCAGATTTCCAGGTGCCATCTGCTGAACATTTTTCACAGCCCATCTGCAGATGGGCCTTATCAGAACCCCCGTGGCTTTTGCCTGCCTTGGTTAGTCCAGAATTTTGCTTTTCAGCTGTACTCCTTTCTCTCAAGATTCTTTAATTGGAATTTAAATTAAAAAGTCCAGAAATTGAGATGCTGCTTCCACGTGCCTGTGAAAAATCTTAAGCAAGCATAAACATTCTGATCTGTGACCGCTACGTCCCTTTGTCAATGAGGTGACGGTCATCTGTGTTAAAGTTTGTCCTGAGACGTTAGAATAAGACGTTCAGAGAAGCTATACTGTACTGAATGTTTCTTAGAGTGGACGCTGCTCTTTTCCACGTGGCCAAAGGCCCCGGATTGTGTCTGTTTCTGACACACGCAGAGAATACTAGGTTTGGAGGAGAATTTTTAGAAGCTCTTCATCACTTTTGCCCAGAGATTGTTACTCTTGTTCAGAGTTTAAGCTGCTGTTCCACAATCATCTCTCTCAGTTTATCACTTAATAGTCAGATTTCCTTTACAAAAAACATGTAAGTATCCAGTCACGGACTCTCCCCTATGATACACTAATCCTACAACTGCTTTTCCTGGAAAAGAAGGAGTGTTTAAAAGATACAGAAATATTTCATCCTGACTTGTCTCATGTTTCATCGTTATTTGAGTTTGGAAGAGTGGTTTAGAAATGAAATTATGGGACCATGAAGGTCAAAAGCTGCCACTGTGCTTCTTGCTCCAGTTCATTGGTGTATTATGGCATGATTAAAAAAAAAAAACTATGGGCATTTTGAGAGGCAAAACTATTATTATTATTATATTATTATATATTATATATTATATTATTATATATTATTATGCACGTGCTTTTTTTCCTTGGCAGAGGCAGAAAATAGATGAAAATTGCAGTTCAGCCATGAAGTCATGGATTACGGTTCTTCAGCCTTACTATTACCCTATGACATGTAATTACAACCTGGAATATAGCCTCCTCGCCAGGTTTTGTAGAGATTTCAGTTGTTCATCAATGAAATGCTTTAAACACATGGGGAAGAAATGCTGTATGGATTATTCTATTGTTTATTCTAGCCCTGATTTGTAAGTTGGATGGGATAGTTAACAGATTAGTCCTATTGATTTTTAAAACACCATTATTATTATTATTATTATTATTATTACTATTACTATTACTATTACTTTTACTTTTACTATTATTATATTTTTATCCCATCTTTTAATCTATCATCTACCTATCTACCTATCTATCTATCTCAAGGTGAGGAACATACTTAATTCTCCTTCCTCCTCCTATTTCCCCTACCACAACAACCCTGTGAGGTGGGTTGGGCTGAGAGAGTGTGATCGGCTTTCATGCCTAAGGCAGGCCTAGAAGTTAGTCTCCTTAAATTTAAATTTAAATTTAAATATACAGGACTGGTTCCTGCGCTATGCTCCTGAAATGTACACAGTCATATCTTCAAGATCCAAAGGCTAGGCAAGGTTACTTGGGCATGAACCCCACTGAATGCAGTGGGAATTACTTCTGAGGAAACATGCACAAAATTGTAATGTACGAGCATGGACACAGTCCAATTACACTCAATCAGGCAGTTACGATTCTTAACCACAATTCTGGACCGTGCAAGCAAGACATTTCCTGGTGAGGAAATCATGTATTCCCAACAGCAGACACGGTGCTTTGAATGTTGGGGATATGCAGTATTTGCCACAACCCAGATGCTCAAACAGGAATGATGCTTTGCTTTCCGGCAAGAAATGAGTAACAATTCTCCACCTATTGCAAGAAATAATTCACTGTGGAATGGTCCCAAGAATCAGCACTGCTTCTCTGGAGAAGATGTAAGATCCAACACTGACTAACTTCTCTGTGGTGCTTCCTGTTGTTAGGCTGTGAACAGCCACTGTGAAGATTTGGCCTTCCAAGAAGCCCACCATGCGATAGCTTGGTTCTGCCCTTGTACTGGGCTAAAGGTTCCAAGCAATGGAAGTCTCCTTTCAGTCCAGATCACCTCCTGGTGACAACATGGAGTCATCCATGCAGTTTTCATGGCACCATGACCAAAAAAGGTTTGACATTGCCACCTTCTGGGACGTTCCTCAACTTTTCAGTCGAGCCTACGACCCTACAATTCCTTGGAGGTCTCCCTTCCAAGTACCAACCAAGCCTGATCTTGCTTAGCTTCTGAGCCAAGGCAAGGTCAGCCTGATGCCAATTGTTGGCTAGATTCACCCATCACCAAACATGGGCCATACAAACCCTATTCTGCCTAACCATAGAATGCATTTGCCTCTTATTGACAGGGAGCAATCCCTGAACTTTTGTTTAATGAATTATTTTGCCTAGTGTTCTTGGAGATGGCCGTGCCCTAAAACCACATCACTAGACTGAACCTGAACTTCAGCCTGCACAGGCTGCTTATTCATATAGCGGTGAGCATAATATCTCAGCAGCCTGCCAGGCAGGAAAAAACAAACCAATTGTTGATTCCCCTTGGGACACGACTCTCCCAAATGCTGCAGCTGTCCATGCACCCACATGGGGAAGCCTCGTGGAAGCCCCCAGGGTTTATTTTCAAGTCACCCTGGTGAGGAGAGGGGGGTTAAATCTCTCCGGATCAGCCCCAGCACCGGTCCTGGTAAACCGCATGTATGAGATGCGCTACCGAGAGCCGAGCGCTCTGCTCCCTGGACCCGGCCTCGCCCCCTCCCTCTCCCAGCACTGCTGTTAGATCTTACCTGGTCATAACCAGACAGAGGCAGAAAACATGCCAACCACCATGATTCTGGGATAGCTGCCTAGGAAAACCAACACAGCCCCGCGAACCAAGGTCAGCGCATCCTGTTGCGCGGAGCGGCTCTCCGCCCCGCCGCCCCGAGCCGGCCCCCGTCCTCCGCCCGGCCATCCGGCTCTCCAGCCCACTCACCCCCGCTCCGGCCGGGCATCCTGAGCGCGCCAGCCCGCGCCTCCCGGCCCCGCGCCGGCCACCTGCCGAAGCGTCAAGGTCTCAGAGGGGATGCGGCCGCCCGCCAGCCCTCCGCTCACCCCCGCCCAGCCGCGGGACCACCTCCGGGGCTCATCCTCGGCGAGGCATCCCTCTCCCGG